TAATTTGACAAATAACTGGCTACACGTGCCGCTTTGCGGCACGTGTTCATTTGCCAAATTACCGTTATTCAAAAATTTTTGCCCAATAATGTATACTTCTACACATTGAAACCTGGTATAGCGGCGAATCAGTCACTAGAGAATCCAAAGCTTCATTTAACCTACGGTTAGCTTAGTTGAAAAGAGGCATTTTGATTTGGCGAGTTGGCTGGATTCTGTAGGCAGTATTTCTCTGTAGTCCTTAGGTTTTATGTTGTTTAGTCTTTCTTTACTAGCTTACCCTTGGGTTGAGTTTATCCACTTGACCTATATCTTTGGTTCTGAGTTCTAGTCAATTCTAATACTACACTGCTTTGGTATCCTACTTTAAACTGGGTTAACCATCAGTAGGTCTTAGTCTGTCAAGACTAATGATACCTGATGAAACTGTTTTTGCAATAACGATATGGTTTCATCTATAACGTCGTCTGATGAAACTTTGGTGATTGACAAACTACTGACGATTGATGAAACTACTGATGATTGACAAAACTTTTAATAAAATAAATTTGACGAATAAAATATAAAACTACATTAGATCCTCAGTTAACAAGCTGACTTCTGAACTTATCTTGCTAACTATGTTTTCCTACAACAAACCTTTATTAATCATACCAAGAATTTTGGAATTAGTACTAATAAGAATACTTAGCACTTACCTATTCTTAACAATAAGTGATGTTGCATCTTTCTACGGCTTAGTGTAACTAGATCTCTATGGACAATATAATGCTGTAATATGTTATCAGGATTGCATAGGTACTACGTATAAAGGACAAAAAAAGGTGTTGAGTGATTTTAAAATAGCAATAGAAAAGAACCTAACCAAGAAAAAACTGAATGGCTACGAAAGCAAGGCGTAATAAATGTCAAAAATAATCAGCAGTGAAAATCTTAATACTGTATTTTTTTTTGAATTACTAAGAAATCAAACAAAAAATTGGAAAGAGAAGGTTTGCAACCGTTTATTCTGCTATATGGAGAAGCACAGTTACAGGTGGCAATAAATTAAATGAACTGTAGCACATATTTATTTTTTTAAATTCTTAATGGTATAGCTTCATGCTATGCTGAACTTTTAAGGAAAAGCGCCCAACGGCTTAAAATTTAAAGAAATAACCGTATGAGTAAATTTATTTAATGTCAATCCAGTTTATAAATAATTAACAAACGATTATGTTATTGATAAAAAAAAATATACTGTAGTTTTTAGTCATAAAACTATATTTTTATTATGGGTCAACACTGTTACTATTGTAAATTGGGAGAGCGGATAACGTTGCACGGTTTAGCTTCAATAGTTAACAGGTAATAGGTGAGAATCGCTAGGATTATAAGGAAAATTGGGAGAGCGATATAATCAACGGTATAATCAATTGGGATGGCGATATACAGTGGGGTACCATATTATTGTGGACACTTTTAAATTTTTAATTGTCAGAAATCGGGTAAGTAAACGCAGCACGAAATTTATATCACGTGTTTGGTAGATCTCAAGGTACAGCAGATTAAAATTTCACGAAATTTTGTTAGATCGTGCAGAAGTTATGCAAAAAAAACCAAAATCTTGGTTTTTTTATTTGTACGAAAGGTCAAATTTTAAACTTTTTTTTTTTGCATTTTTTTACATTTTTTTTTTAACAAAAAAAAAAACTAATTCTATTTTAATATTTGGTGGGTCCCCCTCTAACTTCGATACAAGCATCAACCTGATTGGGCATGCTGGTGACCAATGCACAGCAAAGTTCTGGTGGTATTTCATGCCAGGCCTTTTTCACAAGAGCATCCAGCTCAATAAGATTACCCGGCCTTTCCTTGCAGCGTATAGACTGTTTTACTTCAGCCCACAGGTTTTCAATTGGATTAAGATCTGGGCTTTGCGGGAGCCACTTCATCACATGAACCTTGTTACTGTTTAGAAATTTCTGTACCTCCTTAACATTATGGGGCCTTGCATTGTCCTGAACCAAGATCGGGTAATCACGATTATTGTTTGCTGGAAATTTTTTTATAGTGGGGAGGGCATATTTCTGGAGGATTTCAAGGTGGGACACACCATTAGCAGAGGATTTTAGAGGAACAAGGGGCCCAACCCCAAACCAGGAGAAGCAGCCCCAATACATACGCCCTGGGCTATGCTTTACAGTGCAGCCTATACAATCAATTTTCCATTTTTCATCTGGTTTACGCCACACATGGCAGATTTGCTACAACCAACTGCTGCTGCAATTGTACGAAGTGAATCTCCTCTTTGGTGGCCATAGATTATTGCTCCTCTCTGTTTTTCTGTTAAATCTTTCTTGCTACCCATTTACTGTGGAAAAAAAACGAATATTTATCCTTTTTTTTTTTATTTATGCAGATCCGGCATACAAACTTACCTTTTTTATATCGCATAATATAACCCAGAAG